AGATTCAAAATCCAAAAAGAGCTAAAGAGGCTACAGCACTGCACTGAATCCAATTAAGATAAAATTTAATAGAGATAAATGTAAAGTCTGATCCTAAGGTCCAAAAAATCACTTCACAAGTACCAGATAGCAGGAGCTATCACTACACAACAGTTCATCTGGAAAAGATCTAGGTATTTTAGTGGGTCTCAAGTTCAATTTGAGTGAACAATGCAGCCCCCAAAGATAATGCAGGTTGCTTGGAGAAAAGTATAGTGTCCTGGAAGAGGAAAGTAATAGTCTAGCATGCCCTCATCTGTTCAGACAACACAAACATCTAGAATATTGTGTTCAGTTCTAGATAACACATTTAAGGAAAGGCATTGAGTATCCTGAAGAGAGCAACTAGAATGCGGGCTCAAATTCATGCCATTTTAGGAACAGTTGAAGAAAGGTAACAAGCATTTATTAAACACCTACTATGTGCCAAGAGGAGCAGCTAAGTGATACAGTGGATAGAGTGCCAGACCTGGAGTCAGGAAGACCTGAGCTCAAATCCAGTCTCAGATACTTACTAGCTGTGTGACCCTGGGCAGATCATTTAAGCCTGTTTGCCTCAGTTTCCTCATCTGTAAAATGAGCTGGAGAAGGAAATGGCAAACCACTACAGTATCTCTGCCAAGAAAACTCCAAAATGGAGTTATGAAGAGGTGGGCACGACTGACAACATGAGCCAAGAACTGTGCTAAGCACTTTATGAAAGTTATCTCATTTGGTCCTCACAACAACCCCGGGAGGTAGGTGCTATTATGATCCCCATTTTACAGTTGAGAAAATTGAGGTTGTGACTTACCCAGGATCACACAGCTAGTAATTTGAAGTTAGGAAGATGAGTCTTCCAGACTCCAAGCCCAGAACTGTATCCATGGCACTCCTGGTTGAAGGGATGGGTGTGTTGAGCCTGGATGAAGTGAAGACTCGTGGGTAGGGATGGAGGTATCGGACCATAGCTGTGCTCAAGCATTTAAAGCACTCATGTGGAAAGGGGATTCAATTTATTCTCCTTGGCCTCATAGGAGAGAAGTAGGAGTAATGGGTGGACATCTGGAAGAGGCAAGTTTAGGCATCTTCATGTGAGGAAAACTGTCCTAAGAATTGCAGTTCTCCAAAAGTAGGAACTGCCTCTAACTACACGATAGGACTTTGGGCAGGTCACTTTTCTTGTTTGGGCTCTAGTTTCCTCATCAGCAGTGAAGGAGTTGGAATGGATGTTCTCTGAAATCTCTTTCATTGCTAAATTTGTGGTCCTACAACACACGGTTTCCCTCTTCCTGAGGGCCTTTAAGCAAAGGCTGAATGGCCACTTGTTAGGTGTGTTGGAGAGGGGAGTCCTGTGCAGGTATGGGTTGGGCTAGATGGTTTCCAAAGTCACTTCCCCTCTAAGATTTTGTGATTCTGTACACAGTACCTTGGAAAAGACGGGCATCATAGAGCATCAGTCCTGAAAGAGGGATTATCTGGGCTAATCCCCTCATTTTACAGATTAAGGAACTGAGTCCCAGTAAGGTTCCAGAGGTAATGGGGTTGGGGTGGGGAGCAGGATTAGAACTTGCTAGAAAAGCAAGTCAGAAAGACTCCAAATCCAGTGCTTTCTCCTCCATACTCACTCCGAACTCTGGGACAGAAATGACCTTGCGTTTCTTTTGACTTTGCATTTTTAATCCACCTTCAACCCCCTAAGGTATTCTTGCTCTTTACTACCTACCCCCTGAAGTCTGAAGCCCCTACAGGAGGAGAGCATTCAGCAGTTGGGTTTTTAAATAATACGAAATATGCCCTTTGGACTATCATGCAAGGGAAAGAAATAGTTGGCAAACATATAAAAAAGGAAATATTTTGTTTCATCCGCCACTGAAAAGTAGACAGAGCAAGACTTGCTCTTGCCATTCCACAGAGGGGAAAGCTAAGGCCAGTGATTTGAAGTGACATACTGGGCTCTCCAGCTGACTGACTCTGCCTTTCTCTTCTTCCTCCGTCCCCCCTTCACTAGGGGGAGACTGTCTCCTCGAGACCGCAGTGGGCCTGGTTTGGGAGGCAGGGGCAGTTTGGAATGACCTCAGCTGGGCCTCTGGGCTTCCACTGCTCTTAAGGGAGATGAATTCAGAGGGGTCTGGTCAGGAGGGAAAGTGATGTGTTCCTGAGCAAAGTGAGGGATGAGTGTGTGTATTACACTTACATGTAAGTGTGTGAGAGAGACTGGGTGTGTCAGTGGATGTGACTATGTGTGTGACTGTGTCACTGAGTATGGCTGGCAGAGTCTGTGTGTCAGTGTGAATGCATCACTGGGTGTGCCTATGAGTAAGTAAATGAGTGTGTCACAGGGTGTCTGTTTTCAAGTTATGTCCCATCCCCCTGCCTTCTCCCACCCATTCCCCTCCCCTCCCTCTCCTGGACTGGACTCATTGAATGAGACTGGCAATAGATTGGGGGTGACTTTGATCTTTGGTGGCCCCCTCCAACTGCATAGATAAGGGATGGGGTATGGAAAGTGGAAGGTGTGGTTCTGTCTCTCCAGGCTAGATTTTCCCCCCACAAGTCTCAGCTTTCTTTGGGGTGGAGTCTGTTGCTCTTGGTCTCTAGAATCCCTCCCCACAGCTGCTCCCCAGCTGCCAGCTCCACCCGAAGCAGCTGGCAACCTGGCGAAGATATGACTGTAGAGTGGGCCCCCTCTACTCATCCCCTAAACCCTTTGAGCTCAAGATGGGCACACACACAAAAAAGCTTGGCATCAAGAGATGGGGGAAGAGATCAACTTCCCCTCCCACCCCCCACCCTTGGCACATCTGGGTAACAGGAGTATCTCCCTTTCATGGTCAAGTGGAAGAGGAGGGAAAGGAGAGGAAAGAGACCTTGTGTGGCTCAGTACATCAAACACTGGACCTGGAATCAGGGAGGTCTGGGTTCAGATCCCATCTCTGATGCTATCTGGGCAACCATGGGTAAATCAATCAAATCGTCTTTTTCCTCATATGTAAAATTGGGTTGATATATACTTGACAGGAGGGAGTAAACTTAAGAGTCCCTCTGAGCATGTGCATATGATTTTGTGGGGTGTGTGCGACAGGCAGGAAGCCGTATGAAGCATGCCGGTCTCTTACAGGTTGCTTGGGGTCTCTAGGCTTGTGTATAAGAGGGAAGTACCCTTCCTTGCTGAGGATATAAATCCCCTCCCCCTTCCTCTTGAGCTAGAGATCTGGCAAAACTCCTGAGTTTGGTATATATCCATCCCGTGGGCTGTAGGGCCAAGGGCAAACCTACTGAGTGGGACTTCCCCCCATTATGGATAGTCCTCCATCCATGACAGCTGGCCTTAGAATGCACAGGATCCTTTCTTCCCATGAAGAGAGCAGCTGGGCAGAGAGGAGGAAGTAAATGCAATCCCCTTGGATCTTGCTCTCATCCTTACAGCTGTCCCGTACTTTCTAGGGAGCAGCATAAGGGCTAAGAAAGGAGCCCCCCAAGAGAAGCTCCTAATGGCATGGACTCAGATTAGCCCCCAAATGTGTAAGAAACAGGTGAAGTGGGACAAAAAGTAGGGAGTGAAATTGAGTACCTACTCTGTGCCAGGCACTGTGCTAAGAGCTGGAAGAATTTATTTATTCACTCTTCCCAATGGCCAGCTTTAGGGGCCATTCCCTGGGGCCCCACCAAATACTCTCCAAGAAAGCTGTTTCTTGGTGTGGAAGGATGGGGCAGGCCAATAGTTCCCACACTTCCTTTCTGCTCCCTTCCCCACCCCCAAACCCTGAGTCATCCCTTCAGCCCCACAGGAAAGGGTGGAGTTTTTTGGCCAAGAGCCAGACTGCCTGGGTCCTCTCTTAGCCCAGCTGGTCTGGGTGTGTGTCCATCCCCCCCACCAAATCTGGGTCCAGCCCTGAGGCCTGTACTGAGTCAGGGCCTAAGGAGGCCCTCAGGGGATCAAAACTGCACTGGCCAAAGACGAGTGGAGGAAGGGGTATATGAGAGGAGTAAGTGTTGGTGTGGGTTGACTCAGAGCAGGCCAGGAGGTGGCCTTGGACAAGGGGCTTTCTCTGGGCCCAGGGCTCAGCTGGATAGACTAGGGATCTCAGGGTCCAACAATACCCAGATCTTCAGTCTAGCCAGCAGGTCTTGTGGTTCTTTTGTTTTCTTTTTTGGTGGGGGGAGGAGAAAGGGAGACTGATAAATGTGTTAAGTGGCAGGGAGAAGCCACACTGTTTCCAGACTTATTTTGACTGTAGCACCAACACCAGCCCAAACCTGAGAGCCTCTGGCCGCCATCCTGTGGCAATGTACAGGTGGCAACAGCTTTCCCCTCTTCCAACCCAAGAGTAACCAAACCAGGGACAAGAAGGAAGTGAAATCTCCCAGAATCTCTGAATTGGAGGGGATCAACAACACAGCAGACAAGTGGTCATCCACCTTTTACAAGAAAATGACAAGTGAGGTCCACAATCTCCTGAGGCTGTCCATTCTATTTTCTTTGTCCCAATAACAAACCAAACACCTTCTTCCCTCTAGCTGACATGCTCAGAATGAGGGCTCTCTTTTTGGGGGTGGAGATGAATAGGGTAGGGTGGGAAAGAATGGTTTTGTGTTCCATGGAATCACCCACCAGTCTTATTCCCTTATGTTATAGATGAGGGAGCTGGGGCATAGAGAAGGGCAAGGTGATCTGCCCAAGGTCACACACTGAGTTACTGGCAGGTAGGAAACCCTTCCTCGAACCTAGGTCTACAGATTCCCATTGGCTCTTTTCACTAGGCCAGCTTTTTTTTTTTCTTTTTTAAACCCTTTTTGTGCCAAGGACTCTCAAAACCCTTCTCTCTCATCTGACTGGTTAGTTCTAAGAAGTACATTGGTACAGACAAGCAGCCTTCAAATCAGCCTCTCCCCTTCTCTCCCTAGCCCACCCCAGTCCACTGGGAAGCCCCAGGGAAAAGGAGGCTGGTGGGGCTGAGGCATCAGGAGGAGCACTCACAGAAGTCTGCCATCATGTTTATTAGAAGGTTGGATTTGGGTGTGTGCTCTAAAACGGGTTACAGAATAAATACCTGTGCCTTTAGAACAGGAAGTCCACGTTTTATACAAAGTGCTCATTACAGGAAGTTGCAGCGTCAAAATCCGGGAAAGGAGTGAGAGCAGGACAGCCCTGCCCCCACCCATCCCTAAGATCTCAACTAGGCCTCTCTCATTATTATTGGTATTTGTCATCATTGTCAGAGTCCAGGCCTGTGGTCAGAGTCCCTTCCTCTCCCCCTGTCCAGGGCATGGAAGGCTCCTGTTATTTCATTATGTCCATAGATCCTGCTCTGTGCCCAGAAGATGCCAAAAGCTGTGTGAGAAGTGGCCTTTGAACTCAGGGAAAAGGAAGGGGAAAAAAATCATTCTTGGCTTAAAAAAAAAAAAAAAAATTCAACAAAAAAAAAAAACCACACACAATCTACGGGGTCATCTCTTACTGAATCAGTGATTGACCTTCCCAAAAGAAATTGAAGGTAGAATCAGCCCAGCAGGCACCAGCCCCTCCAGCCACAGCCGGGCTGGGGGTTGGGGTTGGGGGTGGGGCACCACAGATCCTTCCAGCGGAGGGGGGGCCCAAGGAAGAGGCGTAAGGAGGGGAATAGAGAAACAGAGACAGAGAGACACACCCCTCTTGGAGTGAGGCACCTTTGAAGCTACAGAGAGCCCCAGCCTAGACCCCCAAGTCCGGTGATCTTCTTGGCTTCCAGCAAATTTGTATAAAACCCCCCCAAGAAAATGAAAATAAAAATTGAAAGAAAATGGGAGGAGGGGGAGAGAAGCCATCAAAGGAAAAGAGGAAGAATAGGGGCTGCAAAATTGAGGGGCTGACTGGGGGTGGCCCAACAGCCCCCCCAGTCCCCCCACTTAGCCCCGGTGTTAACTCGTGACGTAGTGTTTGGTGGACGGCTGGCCGTACACCCTGTAGAAATCCTGGTGTCCAGGCTGTTGGGAGGCATCTATCCAGTCTCTGACAGCCAGGCCTGGGAGTGACTGCGGGACAGAAGGGGCAGGTGGGAGTGGGTGTGAGTACTCCTGCGAGGGCACTGTCCAGGGGAAATGGCCAGAACGGGGATAGGGCTGGTGGCTGCTGTGGTTCGACACGGAGGAACAGTAACAGTTGTCCACAGAGCAGACGAGGATCTTGCGGCCCCCATACTGGGGTAGCACGGGCTGCTGTGGAGCGGCGCCATTAGGGTAGTGTGACGGTGTGAACACCGAACTTGAATGGACAGGCTGCGCCCCCCCTGGCAGGGCCACAAGGTGCTGAGTAGAGCTGCAGGGCCCCAGCTGGCTCGACTGGCCCTCCCCGGCTGAGGCCGGCTGGCCCACGAACTGGCTCCCTACAGGGCCTGACGGGGACTCCAGGAAGCTGGCCTCAGGAAAGGCTGTCTGGTGCTTTCGTTTCTCTGCCCCAGAACTGCTGTTCACACCACATGAGTACAGCGGGACCGTCTGCAGAAAGGGCACCGGGGTGCTAAAGGGGCCTGTGGAAGAGAATGCAGACTGAGGTCAGCAGCGGCTTCCGGGGAGGGAGAAAGGTCGGCAGTCATCCGGGAAGGCACTAAAAGATGACTGGACAGGAGGCCGAGCCAAGGAGCAGATCGGGAGGAGGAACCATCGAGGGAGGCCCCTCGTCCTTGTGCCTGAGCCCTCTGGGTCCTTGAGAGAGGCCCCCCCAGCACTACCACCTAGCCACATCAGGGAACCTGTCCTCACCTTCCAGTAGCTTCCTCAGCTGCTTCTCCTTCTTGGAGATCTCATTCAGGAAGAGCTTGGAGTTGAGGTGGCCGATCTTGGGAGGTGAGAGGCTGCCCCCTGTGCAACTCTGAGTCCTGGGGAGGGGGGGTGACAGGTAGGTATCTATCCACTGTAAAGTGCTTTGCCCCACCTGGGACCCAGTTATTCCCAGATTTCCAGCCCAAGGCCTTGAAGGGACCCTCTCCCCTGCCTCCATTCTTGGCCCCTGGAAGCAAGGATGTGTGCTTACCTATCCATGAGGATCTTCACGGACTTGGTGTTCTAGAGAAAGAGTAAAAAAAAAGTGTGACAAAGGAAAGTTCAAGCATTTCTACTCCGGTGGCTGCTCTAGGTGGGACCCTTCCCTACCCCTCAGGCAGGGATGCCCTTCTTCACATGAGCTCCAGGCTGAGCATACGGAAAGAACTGACGAGGGAGTACAGGCCAAAACCCCGTGAGGAGCACCAGGGGGTTGGGGGGACTGCCCCCACTGAGACATTAACACCAATTCAGCCAAGTTCAGATCTAGCCTCAGTCCTGATCAGTGCCTTCCTGTTTTAGAACTCACTCCCCTAGAACCTTGGGCAGCTGGTGGTACAGTGTTAGGGCACTGGGCTTGGAGTCACGAAGATCTGAGTTCAAATCCAGCCTCACACACTTATTAGCTGTGTGACCCTGGGCATGTCATTTAATCTGTTTGCCTCAGTTTCCTAAACTGTAAAATAACAGCACCTACTTCAAAGGGTTGTTGTGAGGATCAAATCAGCTAATACTTGTAAAAAGTGCTGAGCACAGTGCCTGGTACATAGTAGATGCTCTCTGTATAAGTATATAAAGAAATGCTTATTTCCTTTCCTTCCATCCTCCCTCATCATGGAGTCTGTGATTTAGCTCTCAGAACAGTTACTCCAAGACTTTAAGTCACTGGGCCCTGGAGCCCCCTAACTCTTCTGCCTGCCCACCAGAGCCCGGATGCTTTGCCTCCTTAGCCTGGCTCTGCCTCTCCCCCATGCTCCCTGTACCAAGTGGCCTCTGACATCCTTGAGGACTCTCCCCGCCCCTTCACCCACCTTCATGAAGCTGATGTCCTCCGTCTTGTCAAAGACCAGCTGCACAGAGCTGAGCAGCTTCTTGGCCTCCTGCATGCGCTCAGTGAGATGCAGGGCCTGCGCTGCGTTCTCATTGCAGAACTTGGCCTGGGCCTTGTCCAGGATCTCCATGCTCTGCCGCAGGTCCTCATCAAGCAGCTGGTGCAGCTTCTCATACTGTAGTCTCACCTCATCCTTCAGCTGGCTCACCTTCTCCTGCAACCAGAGACAAAGAGGCCCCATGGTCTGCACCCTGTCGCTCCCTCCCACTCCCTGGTCCTCCCCACCCTTCAAGGTCTAGCTCAAGCCTCCCCTCCCTCGAAAGCCTGCTCAGACGCCTGAAAAACCCAATAACCTCTCCCTTGTCTACAGAGATCCCAGCTTAGCACAGATCCTATGCCATCCTGTCTTACCCTGCTTGTCCCATGTGCCTGTCTGGAAGCAGAGACAGACCCTCTGTCTTCCTCTGTAGCCTGACATGGGTCTCCACACACAGAGAAGCTCATGCAAAGCTGCTGGCTACAGCCTGACTGGGGCAGGGGCAGCTCCCTGCAGCCCCGTTCTGATGGTCCGTAAGCTCTGTCATACCTCCACCAGCCGCTTATCAGACTCCAGTTTGTAGAGCTGGTCCTCGATGTCCTGCTCCCGTTCCTCAAGCCGGTCCTGTTGCTTCATGAGCATCTTCTGTAAGGGGGAGTGTGGGGGAGGGAGAGCACTGTCACTTGAGGAAGAAGAGGAGGGACCATTCTCCAGGAGAGATCTGGAAGCAACAGCTTCCCTTCATGAGGGACTTTGTAGTCTCTCCTACCCCTTCTTCCACACCTGGACAGGAAGGGATCAGATGCCTCCAGAGCCTCAGCAATCCCTTCCCCCAACTTCCAACCTTAGCCTACTCTGTCCATCCTGGTGGCCTTGGAAATGATCCTCCATATCCACCCATATCCAGATAATCTCCAAGAGGGGAGAGGGGGAGAGGGGAAGAAGAAGGAGAGGAAGGATGAGAGATTGATTAAAGCTGCAAGGAACACAATTTAGTCCAATTACCTCCTTTTACAGGTGAGGAAACAGAGAGAAGAGACTCACCCAAGGTCACTTGGGCAGAGTGGCAGAACAAGCATTGGAAATAGCACCTTGCCTCCAAACCCAGTATGCTTTGCTTGAACACTGCCCTGCAGGCTTCTGTCCTTTCCCAAAGCTTCAGCTGCAGCTCTGCTCCCCCCACCCCAGGCTCTCCTCTTTCCTGGGCTGAGCAGTCAGAAGCCTGCAGCTCTTTGCCCCATCCTGCTTCTCCCAGCTCTGTTCCCGGACATAAGACAGGCCTAGTTACCAGAGCAACCAAGCCAGCCAGGCTTCTGCTGAGAAGAGAGCATGGGAATGAGAACCCCAACCTTCCTCTTAGACTCAGGCAGGCCAGGAGGAAACTTTGGTGCACACCCTATACAACGAAAGCATAACCTTCTTTCCAGCAGACTCATCATTCTCCCCCAATTCACCTTGCACGCTTCAGCATCTGTCTTTGCTGCCTAACAGGTAGCCCTCCCCAACCTACCCACATTCGACCCCCGTTGACCTATGACTCAGATCAAGTCCTACCTTGTCCAGAAAACCTCCCTTGAATATTTCAACTCAATGGTATAATGAAGAGAACTTGGAGATGTGGGTTCTAGATCCAACTCTGAACCTGAAATGACAGGGCTGGACTAGCGAGTAAATGAGTCTTGTGGACTTACTACTATGTCTGTGATCTCTCTCCTTTATCTTGGTCTGCAACCGATTGTGTGGCATTTTAAAACCATGGGTATGAGGCTGAGGACTGGGAGGCCCCTGAAAATGGTTCCTCCCTCTGTATCCCACCCCTCAAGTCTCTAAACACAAGGAATAGACACATTCAATGAATAAGACCGAGATCACTCTCACTAATTATTAATTACTACAGAAGAATGACAGAGAATCTTCGGGCAGGCACAGGTGTCTTAAGTCTTTCCAGTCCAATGGTGACAAACTTAAATAGAAATGGTCCACAAGGATCTCTGCAAGCCACATGCTGACTTAGAAAACCACATGTTAACATTATCTATATCCTACTGTATTTTTATTTATTCTGCCAAATATTTCCCAATTACATTTCCATCTGGTTCGGGCTGCACTCAGGAGTGGTGCAGGTCTACAAGCTTTGCAGCCCCAAGTTACTTGTTACTTTCTGCTGCCTCAGATTTCCAGTTCTGGACTTCTGGTCCTAACTGGTACCACGGGAGCTTTCTCTCCTTCCCTGATGGAGTCTGGGGCTAGGAGGCAGAGAAAGAACTGCTGCCAACTCAGGATCCCTCACTACCCCCCACTACCTCCCCCCCCAGTTCTTTTTACAAATAAAAGTCTGAGGATCTGAAGAGATTTGCCTAAGTGGGTTGGGATGAGATGGTCCTCTTTATAGAATCCTTAAGCCTTGAAGCTGGGCAGCCCTTGTGGACCATCTAGATGTAAGACTAATGACTCTTTTTTTGTGCCATGAACTTCATCATCTAGTTAGGCCTAGCCACCCCTTCTCGGAATCAGAACTTGTTGCCCATGTTCATAATGGAAGGAAAATAAGTTTTAGTTAAGGGTCAGTGAAAATAAAGGTGTAATTTTTTTCCCCACCTCTGGTTGACGGGCTCCCTGAAATCTATCCCTCTTAACCTGGCTCCAGGTTTATGACTTGATCTGACACCCCCACCCCCACCCCATTTTGTAGATGAGAAAACTGAGGCCCAGAGAAGGGAAGCTGCATTTTCAAGGTCATACAGGGAATGGAAGGATTGGGACCAGAACCCACAGGAAGAATCCCCAGAGGCCAGCCAGTCTAGCCAGCTGTAACCCAGCTGGGGCTACACAGCATTCATATAATGGTAAAAAAAACTACATTTGATGCCAAATCTTGTCTCAGTTACTTTCTCCTTGGGTGACGATGGGCAAATCACTTGACCTCCCTGGGCCTCAGGTTCCTCAACTGTCAAATGAAAGGGCTGGATTAGATGACCTCTAAGGCCTGTTCCTGTTTTTAAATCTAATCTATGATCCTAAGTGCTCCTGCCTCCAAGATCAATACTATTTCAATTCACTTACAATCTATCAAATAAGCAAATAAGCCCCTCCACTACCACCTCCCACTCCCACACCCATTAAAAAGGCATCAAGTGACAATGCTCCTAATTCTGGCCTGGCCTCCTCCATGTTACAGATGGGATGAGAGGCCTAGTGAGAAACCAAAAGAAATCTGCACTAGAAAACAGTAAGATGAAGACTAGGCTTGCTTTTCAACTCCCAGCTTCGAAGGATCCTGACCTGGGCTAGAAGGAAGGAGCTGAACTCTCTCCTGGGGCCGGCTGCCTAAGCTGACCCTCATCCCATCTCCTCGGAGAACCCAACCCTACCACTCCCTGCCCCCAGACCACGCAAAGTGGACACTGCTACTGGCCTGTGGGTCAGGTCCCAAGAATGCAACTTGAGGAAAGGGAGGGAAGTGGGGGATCAAGCTTTTCCCAAAGCCTTGTAAAAGCTGCCGAGGGAGAGAGAGAGAGAGAGAGAGAGAGAGAGAGAGAGAGAGAGAGAGTGAGTGAGAGAGAGAGAGACAGACAGACAGAGAGAGACAGAGAGAGAGACACAGACAGAGAGACACACAGGATTATCAGGGCTCAGGCCTGGCTTGGCCTGTCTCACACATAGACCTAGGCAAAGACTTTCTATAGGCCCCCAGGGCTGCAGTGGGGGAGAGGGGGCCCCAAAGAGGAGGAGGCCCAGGACTTCCCCCTCCTGACCCCCCACGGGAACAATGGGCCTTTTCTTCTAGAGGGGACCTTTGGCCCACAAACTCCTACTCACCAGGGCCCCTAGCCCAGCATCCTCCCCCAGCCTCAGGTCAGCTGTGGGGAGGGAGAGGCACAGGAAAGCCAGAACCCTTGCTGCTGCTGCTGCTACAATCATCTCCCCACTTCCCGAGCCAGCCAATTACTCTGACTAAAGCCCCTTACCCTTGTACATGTGTCTGCACAGGCTCTACTTCAGCACCTTCCCTCCTTTGCAGCTACTTCCTCAGTATCCAGAAGGTTGAGGGGTAGGAGAATAAGACTAAACACCCTAATTCTTGGCCCAAGTTTCTCTCCCCATTAAACCAGGACCACCCCTCACAGGTTGTCTCTCAATAGTGCCCAACATTTGGCCTTGACGGCCACTGAAGTCCCTTCTGACTCTCCAATCTAGGGAGCTGTATGATCTCCCCCACCCCAATCTGGGACTCCTTCCCCCACTGAGACCACCTCCCCAGTGTTTCAAGGATCCCTAGAATGCAAACAAGCAAACCCTAATGTTCTTGTCCCCTAGGATCTTTTCTGGAGGTCACCCGTACCTTGGTTCCTACCCCCACATTTCTGACCCCCTCTAAGGCGGGGTGAGGTGGGGACCAAAGCTCTGGTTACAGGACTGCTTCATGGAATGGACCTAGGAGGTTCGTATGGATTGAGTCATACCATGTTTCAGCTGGAAGGGCCCTTGGGAGGCTCTCTTTCCAATTCATTGGCCTCTTTATTCTGCCTGGACTGTCCTAGCCAGAGAGAACTGAATATAGAGCAAAGACACTGGCCCATTAGAAGCGAGGGCCCCTGAGAGGGGAAACAGAGCTTTCCTTCAAGCAAGTCATCCCTGGGCATAAGAGAGCCTCCCTTCTCCCCTAATTCCTTACTTGAACAGCTCAAACCAAAGACCTGCTTTTCCTAGCTCTTCCTCCAGCCCAGATCCTTCCAAATTTGAGGTTATGTCTAAAGGCTTGGCATCTCTAGGGCCTGAAAATCTCTTCTCTTTAAGCCAGTATTCCCTATCCCTTGTCCCACCCTGAATTTCCTGGGGTTGGACAGGCCACTTTGCTGATGGTATCACATGGTGGGTGTGATATACTACACTTATATCATGGTCACAAGCCAGTGGGTGTATATATAGAGGCCACATGGTACCATGGAAACATCAGATCAGGAGTCAGGAGACCTGGATTTTAGCTCCAGCTCTTCTGCTAACTTGCTGTGTGACCTTGAGCAAGTCACATCACTTCTCTGGGTCTCAATTTCCTCATATGTAAAATAGAGTTGAGCTCTAAGTAATCCTACAATGATCAGATAAGAGAATGTCTATGACAGAGTTGTTTTGGTTTTTTTTTTTTGCTTCATAAACACACACATGAAAGGAGTTATTATTAAATTGTTCCCTCACCTACCCTGCCTGGCTCCATAGACAGTTAGGAACACCTTGCTTAAGAAGGCCCAGAAAGGCTATCCGTGAGCATTTATTCAGCATATCTGCTGTGTCAGGATCTGTACTAAATACTGGAAATAAAACAACAAAGGCAAGACGTCCCAGCGCTCAAGACTCAAAGGGACTCACCGGGCATCAGTCCTCCCCTCCTCAACTCCATCCCACCTGGTCTTCCAAGTAGCTTTTTCTGTGGTATTTCTCCCCTCGTGGTCAGGGCAGGAACCCCTCTTACCTGAGGCCTCTACTACACCTAACTCCAGGGTAAACCAAGAGCACCAGCAGAGCTCACTTTCAAGGAAGAGGATATATATGTATATTCCTACCCCAAGACTTCATATCCCCATTTTCCAAACTCTAGCAGGGGCCAGGTGGCTGATGTCCCAAAATAAGAGGAGTAGGGGAGAGGG